CTTTAATTTTTAGCATTGTTCGCTGCTCTATTTGTTCTTCACGATATCCATTCGTTCCAATCGGAAGTATATGAAGATCTCGCTGAATTCAAGACGATTGCTGAAGATGCATGGACAACAATGGTTCCACGTGAAGATGCTGTTCAACCATTTGAGACCTTCTTGAGAAGATTCAGAAGAGGATATGATTCTGGAGTTGCTGGATCAGCTGGATCTGCTGATGGAAAGTGCAACTGTGGACCACAACCAAAGAACTGTCCAGCCGGACCACCGGGACCACCAGGAAATCCAGGAACACCAGGAGATGACGGACCAATTGGAAGAGCTGGAAATCCAGGAAGAGATTCAACTGAAGGAGATCGTATGGCTGATTTCAACAAGGATGTCAAGTGCCCAGCTGGACCACCACTCCTTCTTATATGTAACCGAGAAGAGCATTTTAAAAACTTGACAGGGAAAAAAAGAGAACCGGAATACCGTATTTCTGGCAGATCAAATGATGGATTGGATTGCCAAACTGAGAGGCTATTACCGAAAAATAAACTAAAATTGATGAACTTGAAAAGTAAAATTTTGAGACAATCATTTTTTATGTCCCCCACCTTTAATCAAATAAAATTTTGAATACGGCTTTGAGAACACACCCCATTTCTTAATTATCATTTTTTGATATTATCAATCTAACGCAATCTAATTAAAAGAGAAATAAAGACAAAAACTAACCATTCTTAAATATACTCAAATGCAATGCTTTTGGAAAAAAGTTCTCTTTCCAGAAGTAACTTCCACATTTTGGAAGGTCCAGAGCATTCAGTATCGTTGCCATAATAGTCAAAACAAAATGAGTCTCAAGCTCAGAAGTAAGGTATAAAAGAAGGCGTGACTTATAATCCTCTACCTTTCTGTTGTTATGAGCCAATTTCGAAGGTATCACATTCTCACTTTCGCGCGTTTTCTCTATCAACATTCTATCCGTGAAAACAAAAATTATGATTCTCATTAGTAGAGAGAGGAGAAGTTTCTGTCTTTTCAAACTAGGGAGGTGATGACAATTATCATTGATAATTAAGGAGTTATCGAATTTAAGACTTCATGAGGAGAATGATCATAAACTAATTAAAACTTGAAGAATTAAATTGAAATGACAAAAATGTCTAGAGTGGAATCTTCAAAAAACCTCAGATCGTTTCGGGAGTCTGAGTTATGACTGTTGCAACAGATGGATGACACTAGAGAACAATTCAGAAAAAACGAGCGTGAAGTAGTCAGCCATGAAAATGAATAAAAAAAACTGAGGCCCTTTATGAAATTATGTTCAATTACGGTGGGAGAAGCACTCGAGCTTGCAAATCGAATTTGTAAATAATTGTGTGAATCAAATTACCAATTTGAGGATACAGTAAGAACCGAAACTTACAGTTGGCAGAGCATGTCGATGATGACGTTATAGAACTCGATGACGTGGAATCAGTTGATGGGTATTGGGATGTTCATCCCGTGATGGGATGGGAAAATAGAAGGCAGCAGGGTGGCAGGAGACGTCGTTGGAAAAATGGAAGGGGTAGTAACAAAAGAGGAATGGTAGAGATGCCTTTTCAAGAAAT